TAAGTTGTGCGAGTTTAACCAGGTGCTACGTAGTACAAGAGAAAGGTATTTTTCTGAAATGATTGAAGGCTGCAGCAACAATCTGCGTGTTCTGTTTTCAACAGTTAATAGATTAACAAACCCCCCTGTTCAAATGCCATTAGAGCTAACTTCCAAACGTAAATGTAATGAGTTTGCACATTTTTTCAATGACAAGGTTCAAGGCATCAAAAACGCCATTGTCTCCAATCCACAGATAACAATCCAACAGCCAGAAAGGCTCTTTGAGCTAACTTACTTTGCACCTGTAAATGATCAAACTGTCCAAGACATAATCTCCAGTTTGAGCTCCTCCACATGCAGCCTGGATGTACTACCCACTAGATTTCTAAAGTCTGTTCTGAGCAGTCTGTTACCTTCACTCACACAGATAGTAAACATGTCCCTTGATTCTGGAATATTCCCAAAGGCCCTGAAAACTGCAGTCATCAGGCCCCTGCTAAAAAAGAGCAGTCTGGATGCTACGGTACTTAACAACTATCGTCCCATCTCAAATCTGCCATTTATGGGGAAAGTCCTTGAGAAAGTTGTCTACCTACAGCTTACTAGATTTCTTATAATCAACAACTCATTTGATATGTTTCAGTCCGGCTTTAGACCACAGCACTGAGACTGCTCTCGTTAAGGTTACAAACGATATCCGGCTGAACACTGACGCAGGCAAAGTCTCAATCCTAATCCTGTTAGATCTAAGTGCTGCCTTTGATACTGTCGACCATGAGATCCTCTTACAGAGACTAGAGGACTGGGTTGGCGTCGCTGGCACCGCCCTAAGTTGGTTTAGGTCTTACCTTGAAGACAGGAAGTACTTTGTGGAGATTGGAAACTGTGTCTCAGATCATATGGCCCTGACCTGTGGAGTACCACAGGGGTCGATCCTGGGACCTCTTCTGTTCAATCTCTACATGCTGCCGTTAGGTCAGTTAATACGCAGAAACAAAGTTTCCTATCATAACTATGCAGACGACACTCAGATCTATGTCTCACTGACTGCAGGAGAACATGGACCAGTGGACTCACTCCTTCACTGTATCCAACAGATCAGTGAGTGGATGCAAAACAACTTCCTTCAGCTAAACGCAGACAAAACTGAAATGATTGTCTTTGGTCCCCAGAAACAAAGAGAGAGCGTCATCTGTCACCTACAGTCTCTCTCCCTAAAACCTTCAAACAAGGTCAGAAATCTAGGGGTAATACTGGACTCAGACTTAAATTTTAATAGCCACATCAAATCAGTAACATCAGCAGCTTTTTACCATCTAAAAAACATTGCCAGGATCAAAAACATAGTGTCTAAAGCAGACTTGGAGATTCTTATCCATGCATTTGTCTCCAGTAGGTTAGACTACTGCAATGGCCTGCTCACAGGTCTGTCCAAACAGGCTGTAAAACAGCTGCAGTACATTCAAAATGCAGCAGCTCCAGTCCTGACTAGAACCAGGAAGTACGACCACATTAGTCCTGACTAGAACCAGGAAGTACGACCATATTAGTCCGGTCCTCAGGTCTCTGCACTGGCTTCCTGTGGCTCAGAGAATAGACTTTAAAACAGCTTTGCTTGTGTACAAATCTCTCCATGGCCTCGCACCAAAATATATTAGTGACATGTTAGTCCCATATGAACCAGCCCGGACTCTGAGGAGCACAGGGACTGGACTCCTGTTAGTGCCCAGAGTCAGAACTAAACATGGGGAGGCTGCTTTTCAGATTCATGCTGCTAAAATCTGGAACAATCTTCCTGAAGATGTGAGACAGGCCTCCTCTCTGACAATGTTTAAAACCAGGTTAAAAACGGTGCTGTTTAGCTGTGCATACAACTGAGGGATTTTATATTTTTATCTTTCGTTTTAATGTTCTGTAATTATTTATGATTTTAATGCTATCTTGTTCAGCACTTTGAGTTGCCTTGTGTATGAATTGTGCTATACAAATAAACTTGCCTTGCCTTGCCTTGCCACTCGTAAATCGTTCATGTTTGTCTCAGATATTTACCACTATTATTGTTTTGCTGTTTGTGCTGAAAACTATTTAATAATAACTATGTTTCCAACAAGAACTGTGTCTTTATTCACAGCATCACAGTTGAAATGACTTATAAAATAATGAATCCATAAAACTATCACATAAACCTACAGTAGAAACACGTGTAATGAGCTCAAACAGCTTTGTTTGTTATTGTTGTTCTGAAGAGGACAAAGTAGCAGCGTAAATGGGACCGCTCCTGTGTGATCGCCCTCATGTGGTTTGTTGTGGGATTACAACATTCTCCTCAAAACTTTGTAAGGGGAACGCGCCAGTATAACATCAATTGTGCTTACGTAGGTCCACCGCAACCGCTAACGTAAGCCACGCCGCGCAAGTATACACTAGGCTTAAGGGCCTTGCGGTGACCAAAGCGTTGCGCAAGTGACGTCACGTCACCTCCGTAAGCTCCGCACCGCGCGAGTATAAACTAGGCTTTACCACGTCACTGTTGGAGGAGGCTCCTGATTGGTAGACGCTCGCGTCTTCTCCCGAAAAGTTCAACATTGTTCAACTCGAGCGTCAGCCGCGCGTCACGCGCGTCCGCTCGAAATCTCAAAACGCGCCGCGCCAAACGCGTGAAACGCTCAAAGACGCGCTGCTTGGGAGGCGCGTGACGCGCCGGGTGATCTCTTGACGCTCCTAGACGCGCGTCCCCTACGTTATGTCAATGTAAACCCGACGCTTTGGACGCTCAAGACGCGTTTGGTCTGAACGCACCTTAAAGGATCTCTTAATCACTTAATTGAGGAGCTGTGAAAGAAACTCTAACCATTCAATACACTTGAGTCAAAATGTATAATATAGTTATGTTAATATAATAATATATAATTTGCAGAAGGGCCCGTTCCACCTCTGCACTTTCATGATGTTCCAGAATGTACAGTGCAGCCCTTTCAGACCACTGGAGGTCAACGTGCGTAATTCTTTTCTTACCTTGTTTATTTAGTTTTTTATTTTAACGAGTCAAATGTTTGAGAATGTTTTTTGTTTTTATAAATGATTCACACAAAGCATCTTCAAAGCAGTTCTGTATCAGTTTATGCTTTAAAGAGATGGGGATTGCAGCCTCAGGTTACCTCCAAAATGAAGGCTGATTACTGTGGTGTGTGTTTCAGAGTAAATGGATATGCCTGTTTAGGTATTTATACATTGGTTACAACCAAATTAATAAAAGTACATGTCTTTCCTAACTTCTATAAAATCCTCATAAGACATCATGGCCAGTGGACAACATATTTATATACAGAAAATGTTTTGCTCTTGACCAACCACTTTGCTGTCCCCACCAGCTCAACACAGTCCAAAAATCAAAGAGCCAGCATGGGTCGACGTCAGTGTGTGCTCTGTAAGCGCAGCACTCCCTGGAAGTGTGAGGACTGCGATGTTGGGCTTTGCCTGCAGCTGGACAGGAACTGTTTTCGCATGTATCACATGTCTGAAGAAGCTGAGCAATAGTTTGTGAATTGTCGTCCAGGAAATCATATGGTTTGAATTGTCGACTGGACTGAGTTGATTGGGTGAGGATGTTTCACTTCTATCTGCAGAAGCTTCTTCCTAGCTCTTGTGGTCAGAAAATCACACAGAACGTGTGACTTTCTGACCACAAGAGCTAAGGAGAAGGTTAGCTCTTGTGGTCAGTAAATCACACAGAACGTGTGACTTTCTGACCACAAGAGCTAAGACAAAGCTTTTGTAGATAGAAGTGAAACATCCTCATCTTTAGTCAATCAACTCATTCCAGTGTGATGTGATGTCATAGCATGACAACATAATGTAGTTTTTATACCAACAAATAAGTGGCAAGTCTGCTTTGTTGTTTTGCTACCCAGTTGAGGGTGCCAAGAATGAAATGGATGTAAATATGTATATATAAAGCCATAAGCAGGCCTTCAATGTAAATTTGTTATTTTTTCAGTCTTTTTATTGAAAGAATCCTTTTTATGAATTACTTTGTTATGTAATATCTTTCATCTTACCTTTTATGACTTTGATTTTGTACATAGTTGCATAGGGTGTCTTTTTACCTAAAAAACGCCTAACATTTTCCTCATAAATAAGATTGTAAAAAGCTGTTCATAGTGTTCAAAATTGTCATCTTTTGTACAGATGTTCATTGTGGTTCAAACAAAACATTATTGTGCTCTTGAGCTAATCAGGATGTTTTTTGTGTAAGTAAGTAAGTAAGCTTTTATTTATATACCGCCTTTTCACTGCACATCGGAGTCTCAAAGCGGTTTACAATTGTTGGGTGGGGGTGCCAGTACAGGAGGCACATGCCATACCTATTGTACATATTTTTAGTGGTAGGGGAAACCGGAGCACCCGGAGGAAACCTACGCAGACACGGGGAGAACATGCAAACTCCACTCAGAAAGGCCCTGGTCCAACCGGGATTCGAACCCAGGACCTTCTGGCTGAAAGGCGAGAGTGCTATCCACTCAGCCACCGTGCCGCCCATTTTGTGTTTTCTGGAGTAAAGTAAACTAAAAAGCATTTCCGTTTTTTGTTTTCTCTTCTAATTGATATTACACCTTTTATATTATGAAGTACTGAAAAAGCAAAGCTACCTATGTGAAGAAGAGTTAGTTATGAGAAAAGGGTCAAAATTTCATGTGGATATCTCTTGAAACATGTTTTTAAATGGCTAAAAAATTAAAAATCTCCAGGCGAATCATGATCATCAATAACTTGCTTAGCCCTTAAAGGGTTAAACATGTTTTATGTAATTATCTGTTTTTAATGCTTCTTATATTCCTCCAGTCCTTGAAATATACATTTTCACGGCAACACTGCAATTCCCCGAGAAAGGGACGAATAAAGCTTCTGTCATCTTATCTTTGACACATTTGAAAAGACAACCAGTTTGGATTTTACTCTGAAAATCTGCACTGGGACCACAGCGTTAGCAGATCATCCACTTCCCCCGCGTCCGGTCAATGCAGACAGGTCTGCTCACCCTAACGGCCGCCACACGTCACCGGAACAAGTACTGGCCAATAGTCTCCTGCTCAGTGCGACTTTTAAAACCGAACCCTATGCACACTTTATCATCTTTTTAACTGAGAAGAAATGCGAAACGGGACAATAAAGGCTGGATGCTAACGGCTAACTAGCAACAACAACAACAACAAGCGCCGCCTCTGCCGCCTCTGCCGCCTCTGCCGCCTCTGCCGCCTCTGCCGCCTCTGCCGCCTCTGCCGCCTCTGCCGCCTCTGCCGCCTCTGCCGCCTCTGCCGCCTCTGCCGCCTCTGCCGCCTCTGCCGCCTCTGCCGCCTCTGCCGCCTCTGCCGCCTCTGCCTGTGTTCAGACAGTCTCCCTACGGCAGATATTAACAAGGTGAGACAAAAGTCCACGGCACCTTTAGGCTATGTTTGTGCTCGATTTCAAAAGGTTTATTTAGCTAATGACACAGAAGTGGCTGCGACACCTTTCCACTTTCAGCTGCTGTCTGCCTATATATTGTTCTATATTGTTCTATATTGAACATGTCCGTGTAGTTTGCTCATGATGGATGCTTACTCGTTACTGGAGTTTTAAAAACAGCGCGAATCCGTTCTTATAATTGTTATAGCGTTGGGAGGTTTTGAGAAAGTGTGTTTGTTTACATTCTGTTCCAAATCGTGAAAGCCTGTGCCGATGGCGTCGTTTGCTTGTATTTGTGCTGTAGAAATGGTACGCTGTAACCACTAGTTAACATTACTAAAGTGACTGATTGCAACAAAGATTATACGTTTTTACAAAATCAAAACCTTAAAGCTTTATGTTAAGCTGTCGTGTTAACGCAGAATCTTTAGTTATTGCAGAACAACCACTGATGAACTCAAGTAATGATTACCAGTTTATTTAGCTTTAGCACAGCATTACTCAGAATGTTATGCGATCATCACCAAACTGACATTGATTATAATCATTTAATTACTTAATTACTAACATATTTATTACCTTATGTTTTATACATTTTGTAACGTATTGCATTAATCCAAAAATAACGAAAAATTTGGATGTTCAATGTCTTTTTATTGCAAGAAAGATATTTGAAACCATAAGCAGGAGAGAGGAGATCAGCACTGTTCAGATGCAGACGTGATACACCTCTGTCCAAACAGAAACACATGTTCAGTGAAATGACAACACAAATAATAAAACACAAGTGAAGTTTTTTTTTTTTAAAGGAACTCCGACTACAATAACATGTTTACTCCATATGCTTTATTTTGCTGTTAGTAACATTATTATGACATCATTTTTTTAGAAAATAGTTATTAATTAAATATATTTTATAATCTTTATTTTACCGTAGGCCGCCATTGTTGTTTACGTCGCAATGCATTCTGGGTAGTGACGTCATAAGGTTGCGGATGTTTTTAATAATAATAATGCATCGTTTTTATACAGCGCTTTTCTGAACACTCAAAGACGCTTCACATGTGTCATTATTCATTCACTCCATACACGGTGGTGATAAACTACTACTGTAGCCACAGCTGCCCTGGGGCACACTGACAGAAGCGAGGCAACCAGTCTGTGCCATCGGCCCCTCCGACCACCACCAACCATTCATACACACACCAGACTCATTCTAGGCAATGGGGGTGAAGTGTCTTGCCTAAGGACACAACGGCAGTTTGACACTTTACAGCCGCAGCCGCCCCACTGTGGCTGGTGTTCCCAGAGGTTAAGTGTCTTGCCAAGGACACAACGACAGCAGACAGTGGGAGTCGATGGTGAAAGTCGGGCTCAAACCCACGACCTTCAGGCTCAAAGGCCAATGCTCTACCAACTGAGCTACTGTCGCCTAAAAACAGTAGCGGCAACATGAGCTCCTCTGTTGAACATTTTCAATTTGAACCAGAGCGCAATCAAACACACCAAGAAAGTGAAACGGGCGAGAGCAATGACAGTGGAGATGAGAATGAAGCTCATATGAGTGAGGACAGCCGAGTTGGTCACGTCCAATGGTGTCTGCGGCAGCTGTTTGCCGATGCCGACAGGGAAAGAGAGCGTCTGCCTTAAAGAGCTCCATTTCATTTCAGCCACTGTACATGGTACTTTTTCCACATTACCTGATTATATAAATTTATTAAGCACTTTACTGTTTGATAATAACCCCTTACCACCACTCCAGCAGGCCGTTTCGTGTTTATCCGTTTTCTGCTGGCGATAGCAGGTGTATTGTAGTTTTCAAAACCCAAACTTAAATTGATGCAGAGTGAAAATGGAATGACATGTGTAATGCCGCGTTCAGACCGGATCAAAGTTACTATACTTTGTAGTGTAACACGTCACATAATTGTATTCTAACGGGAGCTGATTTGGAACTATACAGTCTGTGGAAGAGGCTGCGTTTGTGCTCAGTTACTTACGGTAAAGGTGGAACAGGAAGCTGCGGGGATGAGCAACCAAAATGCAATGTTTAAAATTAATCACCATTCATGAATGAATGAATGAGTGAACAAGTGCGCAGCAATTGACACTGTTTCCAAGTGACACTTGTCACTTTTGTTGTACATAATTATTGTCACTTTTATTGTACATATATATCCTGCATGTAACATGTTTGCACATTTCCTCCTTTTGCACAATCTGAGTGTTCTATCCATGCCAAATGTGACACGTAAATTTCTCTTCTGTGAGATAAATAAAGCACATCTTATCTTATCTTGAAAGTAGTTGCAAAACTTAAATTTGTTTATGAATTTTTATCCCCTCATCCTCCCGGCATCCCGTTCTACATTTACCGTAGGTAACAGCATAAAAGGGCAACCACTTTACCGCGGCCGTTTTTCGCTGTTCTATTCCAAAATAATTAGAAAAAAAACTTAATCTGTCCCCAGCGGGCCGTACAACCACACCAAGAACGGACCATTTGATTTAGTAAAACCTCTCTACAAACGTCTAAAAATAGCTAACTATGTAGCATCCAGGTAGCTTTCAATGCTAAAGTGCCACGTGACCGGAGCGGAAAAACTACGTCACTACAAGATCCTCCTATAGCCAGTCGTTTACACAAGTACAAAATCTATCCACTGAAAAAGCTACTGGCTAAATGCTGTTGAAGTAAGTTGAGCAGGGGGCTAATGCTGTAACTTAGCTTTAGCCTAGGATAACCTGCTCTTGTTTATTAGTAGTTTATTATGGTTAGGGTTAGGCCAAAAGACTTTGGCTTTATCCGAATGTCCACACTAGAGGTGCAACGGTTCATCACTGATCCGTGATTCGTTCGGTTCAACGTCGAGGTACCCCAGAAAAAAAATTCACACGTTTATTGCAATAATTTTTGTTAATATTTTTCACGAGGAGTTAGTGGACATGTGTGCCTTTAATATGAGCGGCCTTTTTGGGAATGGTTATATTCAAAGTATTATAGTAAAATGAGTTTGTAAAACACCTGCGGCGCAGCGACGCGAAGCAGGAGCCGTAGTTCTGAAGCAGGAGCCAGAGCAGAGCCAGAGGTCTCCAGAGATCACAGAAGTATTTGGTACTGGCTCACTCAGATTCAGATTCAGAGACACGCAGGTCTCCAGTGAAGCAGATACAGACATTATTAGTGACAGGAGTCCGCGTCATAATAGTCCACAGTCAGACACAGTTTACGTCCTCCGTGTGGCCCCGTGGTAAAGAGGCCCGGCTTTTCGGAGTCAGTGGTAAAGCGGTCCGCACATTGTAAGCGGATAGCCTCTTTATGCTGTTAATTACAGTAACATTGGAAAGAGAAGATGCGGGGATGAGCCGCCACAATGCACTTTTTAACATAAAGCGGCCACCCGCTTTTAATGTGCGGACCTCTTTACCGCTGACTCTGAAAACCCGGACCTCTTTACCGCGGTGTGTGACCGCAGTGGAAACATTCTGCGAACGCCAGGCAGGGGACGCGGTGAAGGGGACAGGGGGGTCATAACACCGGGCATGTGGGTGAATGCAGCAGGGATAAACAACCGCGGGGAACGCGGGAGACATGGCAGAAGCCGCGGAAGAAAACGCACCGCTAATCTGCCTTTACGGACAGAGATGATGATGATGAAGGCAGAGAGGAAGAAAATCCATAAAAGTGGATCAGAAATGTTGAAGAGCCTGTTGTTTATTGTTGAGACAATCTGACAAGTTCTGAGCCCATTCATTTAATCGCTCTGTTTCTAAACGATGTATTCTGGAGCCTCATTTCCACTGAGACAAACTGTATGCCACCAGGTCTTTTGAAAGGGTAATATTGAAACCAAACTGCAGATTTCATGACTGGTAAACTATAAGCAGTGCCATCTTGATCATTGAATTGCCTTGTGTATGAATTGTGCTATATAAATAAACTTGCCTTGCCTTGCCTTGAAGGTCTAATACATGATACAATTCCATATGGCTGCTGACCAGTGCTAAAATATTCTATATAAATTGGATCAGTGAATTTATTCCTATCCCACATTGTGTTTTCATACTAAAGATATTTCACGTTGACTGTTGACAGTATTCCCAGATCTCAAAATACACTCTCAAACTACAGCTTTTTGAAATCTTTATACAATAAACATTTTCCAAAATGGCCACCACCTTGATGACGTCACAATATGCAAATTAGATGACGAATCAACATCCATCCCAAAGTTTGGTTCATACTGAGGATATTTCTCATTTACAATATGCCTTCATCTCAAACTACTTTAAAGTTATAGCCTTTTGAAATCAAAATTGTAAATTTTCTTGAAAGAAATGGGCTTAGTGCTGTATGAAAATCCCTTGTCAAAGGCCTGGGCTCCGCACCGTGCTCCTCTTTGCTGTCATCGTTGCAACATGTCCAGAAGTTCAACTTTTTAGCACTAACCATGTTGTGGGTTTAGTCCATGGTTTTGTCAAGGAGAAAATTAGCAGACAGCACTTACAGTCACACTGCTAGCAAGCAGACATGGATTTACATTTGTCAGTGTGAATGCTGTGATACAGGAAACACGGCACAATCAGGACACAGAACACAATACGCTGGTTCTTCCTTAGCCAATCAGGATGAACATTGCAAGTTCATATACAGTGAAAATAATGCTACAAATAAATCTGCAAGACCGCGAAAAGAGAATCGCTATTCAGCTGAGGAGACTCCAATTCAGAACAAAGAATAACACATTTTTCCTGTACGGAAGTGTCTGTTTTGGTGTTTGTATGTAATTTTTTTACTATCATCATGTTTTAGATTAGACAGTGAGCCAGATCAGATATATCCCAATGAAAATAATGTTTTTGCACTTTATGATGTGAGAATTGTATACATGCATGTGTAAGAAAATTGAGGGGGGGATATCCCCCCCTTGGGCCATGGCTAGGGAGGAATGGAAGACAAAGGCCCAGTACTAATATTCCAGTCACAACTGATAATGCCAAAAATTAAATAAAGGCAGTGAATGAGGCTGGACTCGGCCCAGAATGGAGCGCCTCCTCGGGAGAATCAGGAAGGTGGTTTAATATATGAGGGTATTTACCCTCATAAAGTGCCTTCTTATGTTGCACTTTGTGTTGTTTTTCATTAATTATGTTAAATAGACATAATTGGATGGATGGAATATGCCTTCCATCCATCCATTTCCTTCCTCTTATCTATTTCTAGGTCAGGGGGGCAGTCAGAGCAGCTGCCGAGTCCACATGAGCTGTGTTTATTAAAAAGACTAAACTTCTATTTGAAAAATGAACCGAACCGTGGCCTCTGAACCGAGGTACGAACCTTACCGTGATTTTTTCAAACCGTTGCACCCCTAGTCCACACTATACCCCAGTGTATTTCAACCACTGTGCCGTGGCACACTAGTGTGCTGTATGAAATTGTCTGGTGTGCTGTGAGAAATTCACCTACTTTGTCTAAAAATAACTGCATCCTCCGCTGACTTGTTTTGAACTCTGGAGTAACCACGTGATACTTTTTCATATCAGTAGGTGGCAGCAGATAGCTAAGTACTTTGAAACTTGAAGTAGTACTAGAATTTACCATGCTGCTAGCCAGAATATTTAACTAAAATATGGGTTTATAATATTTCGGGTGCTCATTTTGACATGTTAAGACAAATTACAGTGCCTTGCGAAAGTATTCGGCCTCCTTGAACCTTTCAACATTTCGCCACATTTCACGCTTCAAACATAAAGATATAAAATTTAATTTTTTTATGGATATCTTTGAGAAATGGCTTTCTTCTTGCCACTCTTCCATAAAGGCCAGATTTGTGCAGTGCACGACTGATTGTTGTCCTATGGACAGACTCTCCCACCTCAGCTGTAGTTATCTGCAGTTCATCCAGAGTGATCATGGGCCTCTTGGCTGCATCTCTGATCAGTCTTCTCCTTGTTTGAGATGAAAGTTTGGAGGGACGGCCGGGTCTTGGTAGATTTGCAGTGGTCTGATACTCCTTCCATTTCAATATAATTGCTTGCACAGTGCTCCTTGAGATGTTTAAAGCTTGGGAAATCTTTTTGTATCCAAATCCGGCTTTAAACTTCTCCACAACAGTATCTCGGACCTGCCTGGTGTGTTCCTTTGTCTTCATGGTTCTCTCTGTGCTTTAAACAGAACCATGAGACTATCAAAGAGCAGGTGCATTTATACGGAGACTTGATTACACACAGGTGCATTATATTTATCATCATCAGTCATTTAGGACAACATTGGATCATTCAAAGATCCTCACTGAACTTCTGGACTGAGTTTGCTGCACTGAAAGTAAAGGGGCCCAATAATATTGCACGCCCCACTTTTCAGTTTTTTATTTGTTAAAAAGGTTTAAATTATCCAATACATTTCGTTCCACTTCACGATTGTGTCCCACTTGTTGTTGATTCTTGACAAAAAATTTCATTTTTATATCTTTATGTTTGAAGCCTGAAATGTGGCGAAAGGTTCAAGGGGGCCGAATACTTTCGCAAGGCACTGTACATGTACAAGTCCCACATCAAACAGAGACAAACATTATTTTAATTGGGTACATGTGCTCTCAAATGATCCTTTCTACAATTAAGCTTTAATCTGCAAAAAACGTCTTGATTATTGTCTTTTACCAGATTTTTAGCAATCTGTCACAAAACTTAATGTTACGTAACTTGACTCCACACGGATTCGAACCCGAATCGCTGACATCAAAGACCTATGTTTTAACCATTAGGCCACCAATCAATTTTTCAAAGGCGTCCCGATATAAATCCTCTTTTTAGTCTTTGTTTTGTCATTAATGATTTTAGAGAGATAACAAGACCTTTTTAGTTCTGCGGCCACATGTTATTTTACCAGTGAGATTAGCCGTGAGGAGTTCTGGCAACCCGGACCCCGCACTTCCTTATTGGCGCAACAGCGGCGGGTGGGACATCGAAATCAAAACAATAACATATTTTACGGGTCGTAAAACTAATTTTGATTTTAAAATATCTCGGCTGATCTACTATTATCAGTTAAAGATGTATTCGAAAAGAGCATAATTTAATAATGCCTTTTGAAACATTGGGGCCATATAATGATGACTTGACATGCAAATATTACATACTGCTACTTTAAAGGACAGTGTTTTAAAGGAAGTTTTAAATAAATGTGTTTATGTACACAAAAAGTTGGACTTTGTACTGTTTTTTGGGTATTTCTTAGAGCATCTTCTGGTCCGGCCCAGTTGAGATCCAATTAGGTTGTATTTGACCCCCGGACCAAAATGAATTTGACACCCCTGCCCTAGAGGGAGCCCCGCGTACCCCACTTTGAGAACCACTGGTCTAATACAATGAAGATTGTGTATAATGTCTAATATTTATCTCTCTTGATTGTTCCAGAAATGCAGTGTCCAGAGCAGCGCTAAGACAGGCTGTTTGAGGCAATGGAGTCGTCCTCAGAGTCCCATCACGAGCCCAACAAAACTTTGGTCAGTCTGAACAGCAGAGAATCTTTACATAGCCATCACTATTTGACTTTCAATACTGTAACTAAGGATTATATCACATTGCAAAATTCTAATGCCAAACATCTGACTCCACTGACCATTAGGGGTGTGACGATATATCGATTTTTCAATATATCGCGATACTTTCTCCCGCGATTCGATTATCGATACGCATTTGCCAAGTATCAATATCGATTTTGAAAAAGAAAAAAAAAAATGTTTTATTTTATTTTTACAATTATTTTTTTTTGAATTGGTATCAATTCTTTATATATGGCTACATTACGCATCTCCATTCTATTTATCATGAAATAAAGAGTAATTTTTCTTTTATTTATGCCATAAATTGGCATATTGTATCTTTCTGACCAATATATCAATAATTGTCATATCGTGATAAAATCGTTATCGTGATATTGTTATCGTGATATTATTGTTATCGTGAGCTTTGTATCGTATCGTATCGTGAGGTACCCTTAGGTTCCCACCCCTACTGACCATGACTACTAAATACAACATTTGCAGTTTAAAAATCCACTATGCCTCATGCGTTTCTATATCAAGTCTTTTTAGGCTTTGCCAACACCGTGTACGATGCGGGTGGAGAGCTGCTGACCTCGGTGGAAGGAATACTTCGAGGTTCTCCTCAATCTCCCCGTCACGTCCTCCGTTCCGGAGGCAGAGGCTGAGGATGTTGGGGCGGATACTTCCATCTCCCTGGCTGAGGTCACCAAAGTGGTTGGCAGCCTCCTTGGAGGCCGGGAGTGGATGAGATCCGCCCTGACTATCTAAAGTCTCTGGATGTTGTAGGACTGTCTTGGCTGACACGCCTCTGCAACATCGCGTGGCGATGGGGGCGGTGCCAATGGAGTGGCAGACCAGGGTGGTGGTCGCTCTCTACAGGAAGGGGGATCACAGGGTGCGTTCCAATTATTGGGGGATCACACTCCTCAGCCTCCCCGGTAAGGTCTACTCCAAGGTACTGGAGAGGAGACTTCGACCGATGGTCGAATCTCAGATTCAGGAGGAGCAGTGTGGTTTTCGTCCTGGCCGCGCAACACTGGACCAGCTCTATACTCTCCATCGGATTCTTGAGGGTTCATGGGAGTTTGCCCAACCAGTCCACATGTGCTTTGTGGATCTGGAGAAGGCGTTCGACCATGTTCCCCGGGGTGTAGAGTTTAATCCCGGGAAAAAGGATTCCCGGGAAATCTGATCAAAACTATTTCCCGATTCCCGGGCAATGTTATGACGTGAAACGGGAAATGAAAGTAAAAAAAAAAAAATCCAGTGTGCTCTTATTATATTGCGCGTCTATTGTTGTACAAAGTTCAAACATATTTACTTTACAATCAACATGTCCACAGCTGAGAGGATGGCTCATAAATTGTGTTTTTGACAACAAATATGGATCTTAATTGCGCTGAACTACGGCTTGTAATGGGTGCAGAATTCGTCTATATCCAATTCCATCAGAAAGCTTCTTTCTTTTTTTCATCTGCTAAGGGCAGCAACAGGTTTGGCTAACATACATACAACACATTTAAAGAATATTTAAAATGCATTTAGGGTAATGTTATGCTTCCAAGAGGTGAAGGGTAAGAAGGTTGATTTTAGAAATCGGATGCACCCGAGATTTGGCTGCAGCCAAACACAGATTATGGAGGAGGCACCCGTTTTGTTCTTTTAAAACTCATTGGATTTATTTCCAAGTGGAGGATTATATATCTACCCTCAAACTGTTATGTGGACTTAAACATGAAACTGAACTGAAGTGGTCTGTGCTGTTCATTAATAACTAAGGTAAGGCCCATAACACACTTGGAAATGTGCTTTTTACGAACTATTCCGTTTTTGTATGAGCAAACAATGCGGCCATGCAACATAGTCCTCGTCCCAATTCTCACCCTTGCCCTTAAAAAGCACCCTTGCCCTAGATTTTGCGCTTGCCGTGGGGGTTGAAGGGTGTCCACAATACTTAGGGAGAAGAGGCGAGGGCCCTCACACCCTTAAAAACCACCCTTGAGCGCAAGTGAGGTCCGGAGCTCACTCGCAGGCAAGTGAGATCCCATGATGCATCGCGAACTCCGCAAACCCGTTTTTCCGAATCAACATGGCGCCAACCCTCGGAAGCGAAAACTATAAATGTAAGTAAAATATCACAAAAACATTCACTCTAAAAGCTATGAAATGTGTCAGAATTATTTGGGTACGCAATTTGCTGGTAAGCGCCACTTTGAAATATGCTATTTGACGTTCGTACTCTGCAGAGTGCTTGGTTATATCTACAATGTAGAATGCCGGTGTTGGCTCGCTATTTTGTACGTGTGCATGCTTCAACTAATCGTGATAGTGAGGCATGGTGTGCATTAAATTCATAAACATAGGTAAACGTTCGGTGTGTGTTTGCAAACCAGCGCAAGCAGCTTGCGGTAGTGGTGGAACTGGACAATTGACAAATGCTTTTTTCCCCCAGGGACCACAGAAAAAACATTTGCGCTTATTAATTATAGAGCTGCGAATGAGGCAAATTTTCTAAAGACTAAGTTCCAGACAAAATGTCTGTGGGAGTTAGTGAAGCTTCTATACTTAATAATATAATGCTATTGAACCTAGCTAAATGCCCATACCTCACTTTATGTTCACAGGCAAGCAGTGAAAGAGCTGGGCCTGGAGGGGAAAGTTACCCACAAGCAGGTCAGCAAGAAGTGGGAGAACCTGAAGAACGCTACAAGGTAATTATTTGCAAATATGTCTGTCTCCACGTGCTGTAGATTGAGTGCCATGTGTAATTTCTGTGGTGATTTGTAATGTGATTTGTACACACTATGTCAGTGCTTGTAACCGTGCAGTTAATAACTTTTTGCTATGACATGACATCACAATAATTTGTCTCCAACAGGACACTGTCAGTCCTGACCACGAGACCCCCATGAGGATCCTCAGTTGGGCTCTGCCTCCTCTGCACCATCCACCGCTCTGCTTCTCCATCCCCATCCTCCTCAAATCATCCTCCCTCCTCACCAACCCCGTCCTCTTCATCCTCTAGCCCAGTGGTTCTCAAACTTTTTGCACCAAGTACCCCCTCAGAAAATACCACCACAAATGACCAACACCACGCAGTAGTGTAATAAGCCTAAGTATTCATCAAAAACAAAGCAGAGGTTTCATTCCTAAAGAAGCTTTTGGAGCAGCATCTCCTTCTACATGGAACGTGTTGCAAAAAGACTGTAAAAGATCTGACTGTATTTCATTGAATGCTTTCAGATCCAGACTGAGAGCACTTGAGACATCTTCAGTGAAATGTAACTGTTTTTATAATCCGTAATTTTATGAAATTGTATGTGACTGTTTTATAAACTGTATGTAACTATTCTATAATCTGTAATTGTATGTAATTTTTGTACCGGACTCTCTTGAAAAAGAGGTTCTCATTGACTGCCAGCCATTTTTGATGACTTCACTGATTTTCAAGACTCACAGAATATTGTCTGTCGGGCGACAGTAGCTCAGTTGGTAGAGCATTGGCCTTTCGGCCTGAAGGTCGTGGGTTCGAGCCCACCATAAGACCTACTTCACGACTCCCACTGATGACTGCTGTAGTTGTGTCCTTGGGCAAGACACTTAACCATACTTTGCCCAAAGCCCCAACTGAAAGAGCTCAACTCCTGTGGACTCACCACCTGCAGGAGGATCAGTGAGGGGCTGGTGCTATGTGTACTGGGTGCAGCTCTGACTGCCACCCCCCTGACCCAGAAATGGATTAAGGGGAAGAAAATGGATGGATGGATGGACAGAATATTGTGTGCTATGAAAAATAGGAAACTAGAGTCTGAAAGACAGGACTGTCTACTTTCAGCAGCAAAAAGAAGTTTGTTTTTAGCTTGTTTCGTTCTCTTTTCAACTGGAGATCACAGGAGGAGTGTGACAAAAATCTGAGAAAATGAGGCGTTTGTGAAAAAAGACAAACCTGCAGAAAAGGGACAGCAACAACAAGTTACGAGGAAGTGTTTTTGATGCAAAATGTTTTATGGCACACACACTCACATCCGCAAAGTGTTGCTCGAGTATCTCAAAATGTACTCATCTAAAAACATAAAAATTTACATATTGAAAGTAGAGCCCACGACAAACTATGGCAGAAAGAATGGCCATTATTCATCCATTAGGTGGCGCTATATTTATGTCAATAAGAGTAAATCAGAGATCAGCAAAATATCAATGATAAACACTATAAATGACAATAAATCAAAGTAAACAGACAATATACTTATACTATAAGTGCAATAGAATACTGTTGTGTGTCTTTGTGTGTATGTGTGTTCCACATGGTCTGTGTCAGCTCTGGCGACACATTTACTGCTCAAACTGCCTCCAAATGTAGCCTGACCCTGACACTATTACTCCATGCCTGCTTCACCTCTGTCGCTCCTGCTCAGAGTGCTCAGGCAGTGATCTTTTACCAAGACACCCACAGAGCTCTGCTCCCACCTGCTGGCTTAATAAAATACTGTCTACAGCCAAACCCCAGACATGTATGATACACAGAAGGACAGGAAAAGATTGAAAAACAATGTTGAAGTCAATTGATGTCAATGACAATGAGTTAATCTCAATGGTACTTTCCTGGTTAAATTAAAATAAAATAAAAAAATATATTTTTACAGTGATTCTTTGGCGTATCCCTAGAGGGAGAGGGGTACGTGTACCCCACTTTGAGAACCACTGCTCTAGCCTCCTCAACACTCCTACCCCCAGATCTTGGACTTCCTCCAGGCAGAGTCGGAGAAGATGGAGCGCTTTCTGGGTATATTCGAGAGGCTGGTCAACAAGCTGTAGCGTGGTTCCGTGTAGCTATTATTGTGAACACAGCTCTTTGTTCATATTGTACATATTTTATTTGACAATATTAGTGTTTTTCTAAAAATAAATCTTTCAGTAAATATGTGACTCTGACTTTTGTGTGTGTAGATCACTGTGTTCTAGGAAGAACACAGTTAGGATCATGGGAAAGGATAAAAACATAAGGTCTTCTATCAATCAGAGCAGGTGCCGAGTCCACATGAGCCGTGTTTATTAAAAAGACAAAACTTTTTTTTTGAAAAATGAACCGAACCGTGGCCTCTGAACCGAGGTACAAACCGAACCTTGATTTTTTCAAACCGTTGCACCTCTAATACCCACCATCTCCCAGAATGAAGTACCCCGTAGGTGGGTACCTTCTTGCAAGGTAAAACAAGCTGTTCTTTAGAATGCTTGTGTCGTGCACAGAACCTGGCTAGCCCACAAAAATGTCTAGGAATTTTCCTGTGTGATCTCAAATGGCTTGCATATGTATTGAGTAGAAACCCTTGTAATTCAGATAGTCCAGAGTATGGCGAGATGGGGGCTTTATCCAACCATCAATGGCACCAACAGCTTTGTAGAGGTGTTCCAGCAAGCTGGGTAAAGCCGTTTCTCACTGCATCTATGTCAGCAATCTCTGGAAAACAGATTGCTTGGTGTCAGTGTTGCCAACTTAGCGACTTTGTCGCTAGATTTAGCGACTTTTCAGACCCCTATAGCGACTTTTTTTCAAAAAAGCGACTAGCGACAAATCTAGCGACTTTTTCTGGTGTTATTGGCGACTTATCTGGTGTTTTGGAGACTCGTGAAGCACGTATTGTTCTGCTGTCCTCAACGTGAGCCCCTCCCCCGTCCCAAAGCACTTACAGGCGGCCAGTCTCACAGTAGCCTTGCGCAGCAGTCCCAGCTACAGTCTATGGGCGGAGCAGAGAGAGAGAGAGGAGACTCAAAAGCACAGGAAGTTTTCAGGCTGCTGCAGACTGAACTTCAGCTCCACCACCACCACACATCCAAAGCTCCCCGGCCACTCCTACCACCGCCACCCCCCACTACCCCCCACTCCATCCGCGGCAGCTCTGTCCGTGACTCTGTTTTCTCTCAGTAGTGGGTCACATTAAATCATTTGTTATGCCAAACTATGAAAAAAAAAAAAAACTTACAAAAATAAACCTAAGTAACTCTGCCAGAGTGTGTCTTTTGGGTCACTTTGCCGGTCCCAAGCACGGATAAAGGAGGAGGGTTGGTTGTAGAGCTAGCAATTTCACCCTACATAACAATCTTTTGATTACATTTGCTGTTATAACATTTAACAATACAGGACAAAACTGATGTGTGTAATGTGGATCTAGACAAAGCATTAAAATCATTAAATGTTGTTAATGTTGAAATTATTTTTGTATATTTGTAGTTCTAAACATATTTAGGGTGTTTTTACTCACTTTTGTCTCTCCCACGACCTTATTCCTCTCTCCTACAGCGTCCGTTACAGTTATTTGCAAATGGCAAATTATGCAAATTAGGCGATGACGTCATTTAGCGACTTCTAGCGACTTTTGGGACAGCCAATAGCTACTTTCCTTACTGAGGAGTTGGCAACACTGCTTGGTGTAGATTGTTCCAAATGAACTGTGCCACCCTATGGATAATCCTGTGGACAGTAGACCTAGGAATACTGAACACTCTGGACACAACATGGTAGGATAGACCATGGGCAAGCCAGTATACATAGATGGAGGACCTCATATTCATTGCCCCAACCATGATCCTGCTCTCTCCTCATCACACGTTGCAGCGAATGCATGGCCTGCCTGGAGAGTCTGAACTCAGGTTTTGTGTCCGATTCGACGTCCAACCACAAGCATACACTGCATGAAAAGTGTGATTTCCGTCCCCGTAAGCACCTGGAAATCTCCCTAATTTTCGGCAGGTTACAATAATTTACAACCCGCGTTTGTAGTTTTCCTGTGCCACAAATTGTTGGAATCATACCACGCTAATGGACCCAATTAGCATATGAATGCAGCGGCTGGCCAGTCTGCTTGATTACACTTTTCAGCATTGGCCAATATCACAACTTTCAAACAAGAAATATCACTAGTGATTGGCAGCAAAACCACACATGGCCAGGCCAGGCTTACTCTTTATTGGATGAAGATCTGTCACTATTGGTCACCCTGCCTCATATTTAATGTAATAATGTTTATATAAATATATTTATTCATATTATGCTGCATATATTTTATCCTATGTCGGCTACTACACTATATCAACTATATACAAAGCGAGGATCTGCCCACACATAGGTAGAGGGTAATCAAAACTACAACTCTGTGATCTATCCATTGGGCTCCTGGGGGTTGTAGGTAACTGAAAGCGTTCTTTCCGAGGGAGGTCCGTTGCAAAATGACGGAGAGACACCGCCAACAACGTCATCTTCTTCGTTGGACATGAGGTCTACAGTGGCGGTCTTCCAGAGTTCCACATCGTCATCTTCTAGCACACCGTCTCGATTCCAGCAGCTGTAAAAAATAAATAAAAGTAATAAATCAGTAAATTTTTATAGCCACATCAAATCCATAACATCAGCTTTTTACCATCTAAAAACATTGCCAGGATCAAAAACATAGTGTCTAAAGCAGACTTGGAGATTCTTATCCATGCATTTGTCTCCAGTAGGTTAGACCATGGAGAGACTTGTAACAAGCAGAGCTGTTTTAAAGTCTATTCTCTGAGCCACAGGAAGCCAGTGCAGAGACCTGAGGACTGGACTAATGTGGTCGTACTTCCTGGTTCTAGTCAGGACTAATGTGGTCGTACTTCCTGGTTCTAGTCAGGACTAATGTGGTCGTACTTCCTGGTTCTAGTCAGGACTGGAGCTGCTGCATTTTGAATGTACTGCAGCTGTTTTACAGCCTGTTTGGACAGACCTGTGAGCAGGCCATTGCAGTAGTCTAACCTACTGGAGACAAATGCATGGATAAGAATCTCCAAGTCTGCTTTAGACTAGGGATGTAACGATATCATAATCTCACGATACGATACGATATCGTTATTGAGCTCACGGTACGATATTTATTGCGATATTGTGGAG